CTGAATAATCGTCGCAAGTCAATGGTTCTTAAGCGTTATTATTTTTTTTAATTAATTTAATTCGTTTCATATAACTATGGTTTCAACTAATTCTTTGTTTTTTAAAAATTAGTTTTTGTTTATTAACTAGTTTAAGTTTTTCTAACCCATAAACATCCCTCAATTAGTTGCTTTTTCAACTAGTATCGAAGCATTCTTCAAACGCAGCCTGAATATTATTAAAAATTTGCAATTAAAAAAGCAAATTATAATCAAATAATATTAATTTTTAAAAAAAAAAAAAAAGAACTTATAATAAAAATATATTTATTGAGTTTAACTTCGAATCAATTATAAAAGAATTTAAATCGAATTTTCATTTAACTACCATTTAAAATTAATTCAATTGAAATTTGATTTCAATTTAATTTATAAAAACAATTAGAACAACAGAATTAAAAATTTAATTAAATTAAATTTGTATAATTATTTGACTAATTAATTAAGTCTATGTTAAACTACCTCTAAAAAGAAATTAAAATAGAAAAAGGAAAAATATTAATGCAATCAATTTAATAATTAAAGATTGGTTATAGAAATTAAAAGCAACAAATCTAATGTCAAAAATAAATACATATATACAAATATAATTTAAATCTAAAACGATTTTAAACAATTAAGTATATTTACTTCATACAATCATTAAATGAAAATTTTAATTTCAATTTATTATAATATATTTTGGTAAATTAGCTTAAAACAGAGTATGCAGTTTTTTGCAAGCAGTAGCAACGTTAAGCCTAATATTCACCAAGTGAACATTTTGCTCACAAGCGAAGACTAAACACTGTGTCTTAATTCGTAAACAAAATGTTCGCTTGATGGATAACAAAATTTTGGACTCTACAAATGAAAATCCAAACTGACATCACTCAATGCATATGAAAGATAAAATTTAAACCGTCGACTGATATATTGTTAAAAAAAAATTCATACAACAATATAACATATTATATAGAGAGAAAAATATATTATTTCTACATACATCTAAATATATATATAATTTTATTTATGTATTTATATATATATGTTTAAATATATTTATAAATTTAAAAATATTTTTAATTTTAGGCTTACAATATAAATTCCATTAATTCTGTAAATATTTGTAAACTAAAAACTATACATATATATATATCAATTTATTTATTAATTATACCAAATTGGCAATTCTGATTATTTATTTAATTTTAAAATTAGAAAAAAGCAACAATAATAAATCAAAAAATGCAATTAGTTATATTTTATTAATAATAATTGTTTTAAGTATAAATTCAAATTCTAATTCAAATATTCTAAATGAAAAAAATATAAACAAAAACATGGAAAACAATCGTTTTGTTGTCATTTAGAAAATAAAGTCTTCATCATATTTGTATTAGTCCGAAACATTAAATTATATATAAAACATACATATATTTAAGAAAATATATTATATATTTATTTAAAATGAAATATATTAAAATTAATAAAAATTAAGTTGTCAATTTTTAATTTATGCAAATAAATCACCTTCAAAAATTAAAAAATATTATTATTAAATTTGATTCATTAAATGTGATTTTTTCAAAAAAAAAAAAAAACAAATGATATGAATAAATTAATTAATTATTAAAAACCCAAAGTATTTAACATTTTAATTATTAATTAAAGTTAAAAATACATTAGCAAAATTTTTTTCTTTCAACTCTTATTAGAAAAAAGTCAAATACATATAAATGTTGTTGTCAAAAATTTAAATTAAAAAAAATATTTATATACATATATACATAATTATGTATATTAATATATATGCATATATATATATATATACATATACATACTTATATGTTTATATATCTATTAAACTATACTTGAACTAAGTTAGATTATAAATTAATAAATAAACTCATCAAAAAGAGTTGAAAGTTGCTTTCAATTCAAGCTGAAATAAAAACAAAAATTATACTAAAAAATTAAAAAAATATGTTTTTATTTATTACGATTAAAATTTAAATCCTACAATGAATATTTAAATTCATAAAATACGATTTTAAAAAATGTCGAATACTTTTTCTTCGGTCTATAGGGAATATTTCTTAAATATTTAGCAATTGATAAAAAATTATCGTATTATTGGAGAATGGGTTAGTAAAACTTTTCTTGAAATCATTATCTAAATCTAAAATTCTTTAAAACACAGCGAATACTTTTTGTCCTGTCTATACAGGAAGTATAGCTCACACATGAGATATACTGCGACATTGACATAGTTAAGCGCATAAAAATTCAGCGACTTTGCTGGCTTCGTCATGTCGTGCGAATGAAAGAAAGTGCTCCGGCTAGAAACGTGTTTAATTCGGTAAATGTAGATGGAAAACGCGTTAGAGGACGTCCGCATCTTTGGTAAAAGCACCAGGTGACCAACGATTTGGGAGCGCTCGGTACTATAAACAATTGTAGGTTACCGGTTTATGAACTATTATAAACATCACACTTTTAACTAGAATTTTTGATAAATTTCAAGTGGATAGAGTTTGAATATTAATATAATTAGTTGACTATATTATATTGTCCAACCCATACATATAAAATTTTCAATTTTTATATATCTTTATATCTAACGAAAATGTAACTAATTAGTTAATAAATAATTTAAAAATAATATAATAAAATAGATACTTTTTATATTAAAATTATTCTTTATTCTCAATTAAATAAAAATTATATTATTTTAATAATATATAAATAATAATTATATAAAAATGTTATGTCGACATTCTGAGCCATTTTGTAAATCATTTTCATTACAATTGAATTACAAAGCTTTATAAGAGCATCCTTTTTCAAGGAAGCAATAAAATAGAATATATATATGTATATAATATTAAATCACATATACATATAACGTATAAGCTAGCACATAGATTTCGATGAAATTCAATTCAATACTTTAGTAGAAATTTGCATTTTTTGCTCTTCCAGCTTAATATCCATCATCTTTACATCTTTAGCATGAGAGTATCGTAGCTCCTTCCTGTACATTGTCGCTAAATCCTACTCTTATTCTAACAATGAAAATCGAATTTTTTTGATTCATACTTGTATCATCCAGGACTCCGAAGCAATAATTTTTTTTTCTTATATCAATATATCAACGAACATATGGTGTATATCTTGACTCCTTTGATTCTACATGGAGTGTTTAGCATAAACAATTCCATCCATAAATCTTATAGGAATAAGATAGATAACAATTTTAACAATTGTGTCATATAAGGAAAAAAAGTTCCACTAATTTATATCTCAATGACATCACTTTTCATATTTGCTGACCTGCGAATATATATAAAAAAAATATAATGAGTACTTCATAAAAAAAATTTTTTGATGTCAATATATAACATATATTAAAATTCATATAAAGGAATCCTGCCAAAGTGCAACATTCCTACATTTTCTCAATTAATTTTAAATTAATCATAACTGTTGGATTAGAAGTGTAGATCTAATGAATACCAAAATTGTACGAAAAAATATTAAAATTTATATAATATATTGAGATTTTAGTTTAATTTGTTTTTGGATCCATCTCCATAATGTAAAGAAGTCTTTTGCCTTAGTACGGGTGGGATTCAATGTCTTTATTATCATTCCTACATACAATTTTCCATTTCTACTACGTTATTCCACTCCACTCCAAATTCTATCATTCATGGTAGGTTAGAGTGTGCTTTCTACTTGATGGGCCCATCCAACTGGAGAGTTCTTATGATAAAAACAATAGTGATCACAAGAAATTAGTACTATTAATAGCAGATCTTAAGTCGATATATTAACGTCTATATATTATTGAGTAATCTATATATTATTAAGTAATTTATGTAATTTATGTAATATAAGTATTCAATGTATTTTTGAGTAATCTATGTATTATGGATTAAAATATGTGTTATTGAGTAATCTATGTTTAAATGAGTAATATATGTATTATTAGGTTGTGCTAGGTTGGTGGCAACCTTGTACCCAAGAAAACCTACTTGAGCAAAAATATTGGCCCGTTACGTCTAAATGTCAGTATACGAGCAATCGCCGAAAAAGACAATGGGGGAGTCTCATTAAGTAATGATAAACCAACCTAACAGTTCTATAAACTTGTCTAAGTCCCTTAAGTAATTAATGACTCTAATTGTATTAATAAATAATCTATGTATTAATAAATAATCTATGTATTATTAAGTAAACTGTGCATTATTATATTCTATCATTAACGAAATTTGATTTTACTACAAAGGGCGTCTCTTTAAAACCGGGAATCACTCATCTAATATATTATTGCTGCACAGGACTATATGTATATATACGCCCATATTTTCCCCATCGGGTAATTACATTTAGAGAGCGGTTGTTATTCCATAGGCCCTCTTTCTATTATGAAATATCACTTTAAAAATAAATACACAAAAAAATGAAATAAAATAAAATATGAATTAAAAATATTATTAAAACCAATTTTTTTTACGTGCATATAGTATTCCCCTCTTAACTACACCCATGACTATTTTTTAAATAAAAAAAAAAAAAACAAATTAAGGCAGTCGTAGTTCCTTTGACAACCAAATAAAGTTTTTGGTTGTTAATTTAGCTGAAATAAACAATGTCCCTAGTACTTTAGTTATGAGTATAATTATGAGATCTGAAGACACTTGATTATATTTGTCAAAAAAAAACCAAAAAAAAGTGTTAAAAAATGAATCCTTGTTTGCAAACGGAAATACTGTAAGGCTATAAATATTATTAAATAATATAAATAAATATTTTACATTTCTGACACAGTAAGGAACAAGTGCAACTAGAAAATAGAGCACGACGTAATTATCCAAAAAAGTGGGGCGAACTGAATGCAACTAAGTTCTATAAAGTTTGTAATCAGAATGAGATGAATAATGAAATAAAAAATACTATTAAAGGTAATTATTGGAAACATTATAAAACAATTGGAATCTAATACCACTATTTCTTCTTATTGAACTCAGTTCAATGTCCTTACGAGTACAAAGGCGAGGGTGATTCATATTTCGTATCTAAGGATATGTACAATTCATTGATTGCTAAATGCCGTTGTGGACGTCCTCGTACTGGGGTACACGTTGTTAAATGTTTACAAAAAGCTATAAATGGGCAACAAAATTTAGATGATAACAAACAGCAAAATACTGAGACAAAAACCGGAGCTATTGATGGCAGTAATTTGAAAGTACCGCCTACTTCAAATGGTATTTAAGATATGAACATTTTTTTTTGAGTGCTTTCTACTTTTTTCTTGTTTTATTAGCTGCCATAGGTTGGTCAAATGGTCAAGAAATGCGTTATAAAAAATGGGAACAATCAATGAAATATATATCACCTGTTTTTACTATGGAAGGTCCACGAATTACTGCTACTCCTTATAATGTTCTTATAATTGGTTAAGATTCTAATCCAAACTTTTCAGATAATCACAATAAAAAAAATGTTAAAAAAAATACAAAAGGTACAGTTCTTCGATAGTAAAAATAAAATATAAACTATATTTATATAACTTTGATGTTATTTTTTTTCATTTTCATAAATATATAAGTTTGTCAAGATATTTACTATACAGAGAAGAGGACAACAGAGACACTAAATTGTCTTATTATTCATTAACAGTCCGACGAAAGTAATCCAACTAACTAAACTTCAAAAGAGTCAATAACATTCACAAATTGATGACTATATATATTATATATATTATATTCGTTAGAATGGAGAAAAACTATCAATAGCCCCAGAAACAATGATAAGCGAGCTTTTCGAAATTGTCACTCGACTATTGATAATTACTAGACTTTGAATAAAAAAAAAAGCAAAAAAATGTAATTAAAGTTGCGTATAAATAATAAAAGAAATGCCAGACTCTAAGTTTCTTAACAGTACTATATGTTATGCCACCAAAGTTTTTTAAATTTTATTTCTTGCTTATGAGATTCTTAAACTTCTAAAATATGTCCTGAGGCTGAGCTATGCACACGTCATATTTCGCCGTCTATGATTCTTTCTAGAGATATCAGTATAAATGAGTATTTCATTTGTAGATCTATCTTTATGGTGTTGACAGTTCGGTTATTAGTATGAAAGAATTTCTCCATTTACAACAGATTTATATCTCACGTAGTTCATTTGTTCAAATTTCTAAAAATATTCAAATTAAACGCATTTTATGCAACTATGAGACGAGCAAATTTTAAATAATCAGCGAACAAATATTGGTCGGAGCTTAAGTACTGCTAACCAGAGTCGTAACGTTTAACAATAGTAGTTGTGATATCAAATATTTTATAA